ACTTTAATTTGAGGGTATTTACATCCAAATCAGGTGAACGGTGTAGGAATTAGAACAGTTTGTATATGTGCCTACCACTTTTTAAGGGACCAAAAGTCATTCGTCTAAGGCAAACAAAAGATTTTTTTACTGTAAGAACAATAAAGATGTGGATTTCTCTGCCTGAAGTGGTTTTATCAGAGCCCATACAGATATTCAAACAGTAACTAGATGCATACATACAAAAACAGAATATTCAAGGATATCATTTTTCAATGTAGGGTAATAGCTTCTTGATCCAAGGATTACTCTGACTGCCATTCTGAGGTCAAGAAGGATGGTTTTCCTAGTTTGTTGCAAAATTGGAAGCGCTTCGGGCTGGGTTTTTTGCCTTCTTTTGGATCAACAGCAAAAAACAAATGTGAGGAAGGCTGAACTTGATGGACGCAAGTCTCTTTTCAGCTATGTAACTATGTAACTATCTTACATAAATCAAAAGAAAATAAATGAAAATACTGGTGAATATTTTTTTGTCTACCTGATATCATGTAACTTTTTTTTGCTTTGTAAAATTTTTGTGTTTGGTTGCTACAAGCCCATCTGGGACATCCTTACATGATAAGAGTTCTTAATAAATGCACCATAACAAGACCGCTAACCTTTAGCACTGTAGATAACGTATGACGCATTTCCCATGATGCCGTACAAGGTTACAAAGGTTAGCAATTATGTCTCCATGGAGTTTATCTATTAAACGTGAGCAAAGGTTAAATGCCAATAGTTCACAATTAATCAACACGGCCAACGTATGTTTTGGAAGAATGAAACAAATTGGTCTTCATTGTATCACACTAATCTAATCTGCTATCACAAATTAATCTACCATATCATTATTTGTGTGAATATTTTTGCCAGACATTTTGTTTGTTTTGTAATGAATGAAGATAGATTTTATGGAAGTGACATTTTGACGTGGATTCTCCCAAAAATGATTTACTGTGAAGTTGCTTTTAGCTGGCAAATGTTCATCCCATTCGCTCTCCAGATCTCCAAAAAGTTCAATATATTTGAAAACTGTTATATTATGGTACTTAGTCACATATTTCCTGATTTACTACAATTATCTGTAACTGAAGAAGATGACAGCACTGTGATATACACTGTGCTTTGGATAAACCTGCCAGACATTAGAAGCTAATACCCAACATGGCAGTTTTGGCAAAATGCAGTTGTTATTTAAGGATAATTAAACATTTGTTAAACTCAGTAATTAATGGGGAAAAAAACATGATCATACAGTGCGGTAAATTGGGTAACATCACACCATGCATTAAAAACCGGAATGCATTTTGTGATACCATGCAATGTGGGTGTTTGTCCCATGGTGGTCAACATTGTTTTGCAACTATTTTCAACTGTCACCGTTTACTCAATGTTTATTAGGGTAAAATAATGCCATGTTGGGGTTCTCCCCCTAGACTCTTAGTCTTGGGGTTTATTTTTATTTATTTATCCAAAATCTGTATATAATTACAAGCAGCAGTACAGTAATCAAATGTCTAAAAAGTAATGAGTGGAAAAAAGCATACAGATTCCAAGGGGGAAGGTGATGTAACTTCAAGAAAAAAGAAATATGGTAAGAGAGAAAGAAAGGAGATAGCTAGAAGGGAAAGAATTGGGAGAAGGTGGAGGAGATAGAAGCACGGGACTGCCGCTAGGGAAGAAGGAAAGACAATCAACGCAATCCTCTAATATGCGTCCGGACCAGTACATTCTTCCCTCTTCCCATAAATACTTTTTTTTGTAAAATTAAGGTATCTCATTCCTGACATTAGTTTATCCTTAAGGAAGTTATCTTTTATTTTATAAAGGACAATTGCTGGCAGGGAAGTTCTATCTTTCAAACAAGTCTGGGAGGGAGCTCTTCGAACAGCTTGTAGTGTAGTGTGCCAGATAAAAAGTATCTCAAAGGATTGCTCCTGCAAGGTAATGCAAATGGAGGACTTGGAGTTAGCCTCCCAAAACTCTTCCCATTCCCCACCCTCCAATGTTTCTCCTAGTTCCTGCTCCCATGGATCTATGTATTTGAGCTTACCCCCCAGTCATCAGAGTTTGTATATAGATAATTATTTAACTGGGAGACCTATCTTGTTAATGCATAGTGTTTCAAATAATGTAGGGGTGTGTGAGCTGCCTGTTTTGTGTCGCCCCCAGGAAGCAAAATCCCATATTTTGTAGATATCTAAAAACGTCCCCCAGGGTTAGTCTGCAATATTTTTGCAATCCAGAAAAGGTGATACAAGTATTATTATGATAAAGGACAAATCTTTGCAGGACTGCATTCTCAACACCTCGGAATTGCTCTGTGTCATACCTGGAGGAAAAGCACTGTATTTCACAAATGGTGTCATGGGTGAAGGGGAGGCATCCAAAGAATATGTAAAAATACCAAAGGAAGTGAAACATTATATAAAATATATTATATATCCCTTGTTATGGGTATTTGAGTATACAACTGGATATCTCAAACTGTTCAAGGAGAAAACTTCTCATAGTGTATATTATGTTTTACAATTTTAGGTGTACACATATATGCTGGTTACACTCACTTTTTAGTGAGCCAGCAATATTACTCTGTTTGACAGTAGTGGATTGCCAGTATCTCAATCAACCAAAAATATGTAGAACTGATCAGTATTCTCATCTGTGTCTTCTGAATTTTCCCTTAATATTCCAACGTAGGTCATGAGGTAAGACACAGGCAGTAGTTGGGGGGGGCGGGGCCGGGCCGCCGGACCGACTGGACGCCATGAACATGGGCTCCAGCACAAACGCAAGCCAAACGGCGTCTGAAACCAGTCCTGGTTGCATAAAAGTCGAACACCACGACAGCAATGCACGGAGAGCGACCCCGGCACATCGCAGCGGCCGACATTAAGCATAACGCAAGCCGGGCCAGCAACGGAGGACGTGCGCGGCCTACATATGGCAGAGCACAAAACCGCCCGCGGCCGCAACACGCAACAAGAGGCCGCAAAGAGGCACAACCCCCGATCGGGAGATATCGCACGGAAGGAATCCCTGGGTGGGGGCTCACCCCAGGCTCGGTCTGCGGCACCGGCCCCCCTCCCCCCCTTGGCTGGCGGGGGTTATCCCGGCCATATAGCGGCGACCCGCGCCACGATGGGGGCTCCCACGTGGAGTGCGCGCTTGCCGCCTACACTGGCAAAGGCTGTGGAAGGACCAGCAAGCCAGCAGAAGAGGACACAGACACAGAGGGGAAAAGAAAGCACAGGTAGAGGGACATACAGATCCCAAACTGCTGATTGCATGAAAAAACGACCCACCAAGGGCTTGGATGAGAGGATCGGGAACTAACACTGATACAGAGGCGCTTCAATACAGCTTCACTCAACCAGAGGGCCGCAGCGCAACTTAACTAAGGGGACTGACATGGGCGGCTCGGGCAGGCCCAGACAACGCCGAGCGCCGGGCGTAATACCCGCACAGCTCACACGCTGACCGGAGCAGTGGGTACCCCGATCACCGGGTAAGGATGGTCCCCGGAGAATCCTGTCCCCACTGCCGTGAGCCCTGTGAGGCGGGAGTGCACTGGCCTGCCGGCGGACCGGTGGCCGGTGGGCTAGGGTACCAGCATCAAGTGTGAGGCCGACACTGGGAGAGACACGGAGGTACCCACTCCATGGGGGACGAAGTGATGCTGGGGAGGTGCAAGGGGCGGGAAGGCCACGGACTTTGTGGTGGGGTCCAGTGGATAACCTCAGCTCCTGAGTGCCCACAGTACCGCGGAAGACCCAGCCAGTGGGCGGGGGCCGATGTGGGGAAAAACGGGCGGAGGCACGGCGACCTGAGGACTGCACCGCGGCTGAGACATGTGTGGCCTCCCACAGACTGCCAAGCTATACCCAGCCATGCACATTTAGTTTAAAAGTGACTAGGAATATTTTAGAGCGCCCATTCTTGTAACGGCCCATACCGTACCACACTTCTAAGCAGCTATATGTGCTTATAGACAGTGCATACAGGGGGGGGTTTGTTTGGGGTGTTTTTTTTTGTTTTTTTTTTATTATATATATTTCCAAACAAGGCATATTAGTGTTCAAGCCCACAAAGCGCTGCTATAAGATACATAACCATGAAGCTTGACACTCACGTGAAGCTAGCATACTATGTTACATTAGTTCATTATGTGCAGTCTGTGTTGTAATACATACAAAAAGTTTATGTACGTTCATATGTTTTGATCAATTCACCTCTGCGCAGGTGATAATCTGCATTTACCCTTACAAACCGATACTTATGCCTCTGCGTAGGCGACCGTTCACTTTAATGAAAATCAGTCTGATATGTGAACTCAAGACACGATACCAATAAACATATTTAAAACAGGCAGTAGTTGGTTAAAATGAAGTATAAAAAAAATATATAGAATCTTAAGACTATACTTAAAATCATTCAACACAAGCACACATTTTGACCTGAGTCTTCATCCAGGTGAAAATGAATGAATGAAACAAATCCCCTTAAATGCCCTCCCAAAAGATATTTAAGGGTAAGAGGGGATTTAAGGCAATTTTAAGATCAAAATTCTGGAAATTATATTCATTTCCCTTGTATTTAAAGAAATCATCAATAAAATGTAGGCAGTCAGATGCCCCAATGAGTGCAGGCTTTGCAGTTGTGAGGTATCGTGGGTAATTGATTGGTATTTCTATACACATGCAAGCACGAACACACACACACACACACTGTATGTAGTGGAAACAGTTATCCTAATACTACATAAACACACATTGGTTTTTTTTGTACAAACTGTTTATACCTATGTTTTCTAAAAGATAATTTTATTTTACTTCTTTTGGATCAACAGCAAAAAACAAATGTGAGGAAGGCTGAACTTGATGGACGCAAGTCCCTTTCGGCTATGTAACTTTGTAAACTGTGTAACAATGTAATTACAAGCAATAAATACTTTAAATATTATACATTTACAAACTTACCCAAATTACAAACAATGTATTAACGTATGTACAAAATACATAAATAGCCATTTCTGTTCAGTAATTATTTCTGAACACTCAACCATAAATAACCAATATTATTGAGATGTTAATGGAACATCATATATATTAAACATAGACACTTGGTTAACAAGCTATAACAACAATAGCTGTTGTTATAACGAACAAATGAACTCAGTCCTGGAATGCTGCAACTCAATATTTTGGCATCTAAATATTCACAGTAACTGCTGGGGCCACTGGAAGCTTGTTTAACAATGTGGATGGTGGACTAGACATGGTTAGACTCTGGACTACTCATACTTAATGCATGGGTTGTACTTGATAAAGTGAAATTTGTGTATTAGCAATGCTGCTGCAGAGGGTAAGGGCTATGGGTTATAGAAAAAGTCCTGTTTTTTTTGTCAAACCACTACAAAATAGCACCCCTCCCTGCCCCCTTTTACCAATTTTGATAGATTATACTACATTTCACCGTCTTTCCCTGAAAATAAGACAGGGTCTTATATTCATTTTCCCCTGAAAAAATCCACTAGGGCTTATTTTTTGGGGATGCCTTATTTCGAGGCAAGCGTGTGCTAGAAGGAGGGTTTACATTCAGGGGAATTCCCCGAACATAGACCAGTTTACTAGTGCATGGAATCCTGCGAATCTATGGGCGAGGAAACTTACCCGGACATAGATTAGCTTACTAGCGCATAGAATCATGTGAATCTGTGTTCAGGGAAACTTCCCCGAACATAGGTTAGCAAACTTGTGAATAGCGACTACGGCTTATTTTCAGGGTAGAGCTTATTTTAGGAGCGCCCCCTCTCCCCCCTCCGCCTCTCCCAAATAAGCTAGGGCTTGTTTTCAGGAGATGTGAAGCAACATTGCAGCAGTTCAGATAGTGCTTACTCAATTTCTAGAAAATTTACCACAGGATTGCTCATTATACATAACCACCATACGTTGCCTTAGTATATTTGCTACCATCACAAATAATTCAGCCATTTCTTGACACGAGATAAAATTTTGACATGATGTGTTTTTTCATCCATTTCTAAAATGTTTGAAAAAATTGTGCAATATGTTTTTTTCTCAGCTGCTTTTTGTACTTCTCCAACATTTTAAAGGGGTTCTTCCTTAATATTTGTTATCAAATTCAAAGTCAGGTTTTTCATTTCTTTCTCTGAGTTCAAAGGCAAGTAACCAAAGGCCTTCATTGCCCCCTTGCAATATTTTTCAATATTTTTTACCATCTTAAAATCCAGTTCACCCCTCCACTTCTGAATGACTTTAGCAGCCTCCCTGGAGAATGACAAAAAATCATTAAGTTGTTTTATATCATGATGGGTCACGTTATATATCCATTTCTCCAGATCTGATGTCAAATGAAGACCTGCATACTTTAAAAGTCTTTTGGCATTTGCCAAAGGTTCCATTGCAAGATCTTCATGGCGTATGAGCATATAACGCCCCCGACTGAACATTCCAGATGACTTGGCTTCCTTGTAGATGGCAACCTGGCTTTTGCAGATCTTCATCATGACTTGATCCTGGCTGAGTTTCTTTCCATCCATTCCATCTTTAATGACAATATTGTCATCTATACTGAGATAATATTTTCCTTTTTTCCTTGATGCAGCCACAGCTCTTGGGTCTCTCACCAGATGTAGGATCTTCAAGTTCAATGTAGGGTCCTGGAGGAGAGGCAGAAGGACAGAAAAATCGAAGACCCTCACAGTTTTTATCACCACATGACTGTAAGACCTACATGACTCTTCCATCCTGTCTAGGGAAGCATTCCCACAACGATGATAGCAAGTTGTTTGGTCATAGCTCTCTAAATGAATTAAAGATGAGCAAGCGGGAGGGGAGCAGAGTGCTCGACTCTCAGAAAAGAAGTCTATGTGCGAGATACGCTGCACCCTACTGGGGAGATATGGGTGGAGAGGAGATACATTACAGTTAAAGAGTGATCGCAGCAGGTCCCTGACAGTATACTGAAGTAGCTCAGCCGACTCTTGCTTTAATCTCATCCAGATGGGATGCCCAGGTTCATATAAATAAAAGACATCATTGTGCTGATTGAAGATCTGTCCTAAGAATGAAGAACCAGAACGCCAGGAAGAGACAATAAGGAGGTGTATTTTTTCCCTCTTAGAAGTAGGGGAATGTGAGATGGAGATGGAGTGATCATTTAAAGAAAGAAACAGAAAGAAAAATAACATAATAAAATTTAACAGGAATAAGAGTATAATTCCCCGACGGAAAGTCATGGTGAGGAGGAAATTTAAGGAAAACATAATCTGAGGAAGGCCTCAGAACCAGTAGGGGAAAATATGTTAAAAAGAACAAAAATGATGGAGAAAAAGAATGGAAAAACTAGATGAAAAAAATTAATTAACAAAAAAAAAACAAGAATAAAGGTTGGCAAAGCAGTGCAAGAGATTGGCAACAAAGATTTTGTAAGAAATTTAATTGAAACAGAGAGGAAAATGGACAAAGAGGAGAAAAAAAAGCAGAAAACAAAGAGAGAAACAAATTAATACATAACTTCAGACCAGCTGGCACTGCAGATAAATATCAACTAAATTATCTACGAATTGCTCAAAATCTGGTTAAGCATTAGGGAAAGTGTAGTTCACAATCATGTGCAGTATCGAGGTTAGATAATAATGACATATGTACACATTTCATTTAAAAAACAGCAAAACATTGGACATTTTTAAATGTGTTGATGCTGTGAAAACAATTACTTAAAGAGACAGTAATGCACATTTATATATCCTGATGATATAAAGATTGAGTTTATAGAAAGTTACATTAGGGTTTAACATCAATATTATGATCAGTGAAGCTTATAAAACCACACACTTTAAGGCTGTATTGAAATGTACGTTAATTTTCCATTAAATCCAAAACAGTTGATTTGGAAAGAGATCAAATGCAGTCCAAACTTTCATTTCAGCTCCCTACACATCACAGTTTAGTGAATAAAGCCCATTGCTAGGATTTCAACGCTAGTATAGGAGTACCAGACGTTTGGTCTGCTCCTGTAAAAACAGATTTAGGGGAGTTTCAGCACGTGAGTTAATTTAAGGGCAGCTGTAACCTTCAGACATTTTTTTTTAATATAATAATCATATTATCAAGTTTTGAAAGGAAATAGATTGTTTTTTTAAAATTAAGCAACAAACGAGAAAAACCCATCTCTGCTTTTAGCAAATGACTGGATCCTAGAGCCATATACATACACCCTGGGACAGACTGCGTTTGAAAACAGACAATTAGTTGCGATGGACTATGTGGAGTCCGCATATAATGTCGGATTCCAAACTCTGTCTGACCCAAGGTGTGTGTATATGGCTGTAGAATTCTGTCATATACTAAAAGGTAGGGATGATATTTTCTAATTTATTTATTTATTTTTTTTACATTTACTTCATGTAAAAAAAAATCTCTTTCCTTTTCAAAACTTGATAAAAGGAATAATATATATATATTTTTTTAAAATAGTATTACGGTGACAGTTGTTATTTAACCTATACGTTTTAGTTGTCATTTTATTCCAAAAGGATTTAAAACGAGATTGTACTTGATCAAAACTGCTAATACCTAGACGAATCCACTTACCTGATTTACTGCAGTGTATTTAAATATTACACGTGTCTCCTTATTTGTTAAGGAAAGATGAGCCGTTCTTAAATGTTGTATCTACCGAGAGAGACACAGAGTTAATTAATCCTTCTATGTAGATATGTCTTCATGTGTTTTCCTTGTAGAATGTTCTTGTCACACAGATATCGCAGGTGAGATCACACTTTGCTGATAGCTGAGAAACTGTTCATCTCATTAAACCTTTTGAACGTCTGAGAGGGAGGGAGGGCCAGGGAGAGTAGAATTATGACTACAAGCAAGAATGTGTTCTATATTCTGCCTCTCAGAGTTAATAGGGCAAGTAAATTCATCCTTTGAATTATTAATACAGATATCAGTCTCAGATTATAAACTGGATATTTATAGTGGTCTTTCTGGTGTTTCCTAAGTTGTTTGATTTATAAATAGGTGGCCGCTTTTACTGAATTTCAATAAAATTCCAACCTTTTTTTTTTTTTTTTAAATGTAGTAAAAGCAAGAACAACGTTTCAGTACCCAAATTGGACTTTCATCAGGATCAGTTCATGAGTTCGATACAGATATTTATCCTGATGAATTGATCCCGGCAAACAATGGATTTATTCCTGATGAAAGTTTGGGTTGAAAACTGAAATGTTGATCTTTTAACTGTGGACATTAAAAGTTAAGTTTTACTTTAATATATTGAGTTCTGGGAGTGCTATCTTCACAATACCTGTATATATATATATATAATATTATTAACTCATTTTCAATTCTTATTTTTGTTGGCGCTAAGGTTGCCAAATCCATTCAATTTGGCTGTTGAGCAATACATGGATAAATTACAGGATATACTGGAAAATTTATTAGTTAGGTGAGGCAGTTCCTGTTGGGATTCATCCTAAATTAATTAAATTAATTTCTTCATGCAGCATGTTAATTGTTCAGATTGCCAAATCCATGAGTAAATGAAGATGATGACGTTCTACTTAAACAATCAGCCTTGTCAATGCTGATATATAAGAAGATAATATCTCATCACCTGCTCAAGGCATCTAACTCACTTATCCTGGTTCGATGGCGGCAAACAGAACCACCAATGTTTAAAGCCTGGGTTTTAAAGAGTTGAGGTGATCAGGCAGGTGGAGGCAGAAATAGTGGCAGTGAAAGCAAGACTGGAGAAACATGAGGAGACCTGGAGGACGTGTGCGTACTACCATTGTATAAGAGAAGATCCTGACGACCAACCAACTGAGTGAGATGATAACGGAGTCTCTTACCAGGTGGTACTGGCTCTAAGTGCACATAAGACTGGGTAGACGAGAGAGACCTTCGTGACTAGGGACGCTTATTCCCTCCCCCCTCCTTTTTTTTTCTTCGTCCCCACCACCCCCACTCCTATCATTTACTACTACTCCTCCCCCCACCCTTTTTTTAAAATATGGTTTATTTTTGCATTTTCAAAAAAACTGAAAGGTAAACAGTAGGATTCAGAACTGAAGTAGAACCAGCAGTGAAATAGTAAGAATTTATAACATATGTATCTGATGGTACAATTAACGTGGAACAGAGTCAGCATCTTAGACATTCCTATTAATAGGGGTGCTACTTCGCCCACTAGTCAAGGCTCCTTTAAGGGGCATAGAGCCTGGCCCTGACTTTCAGCTGTTGTAAGTTTAAGGAAGAGTTGGAACTGTTAGATGCTATAGCACAGAGTGAGGCAGCTATAAGCATAATGGCGGGGGGTCATTAAATTGAGGGTCAATGTTTAAGAGGTAGCTGCTATAAGACTACACAGCTAGCTGATCCTGTTCTCTACAGGTCACCAGAGTGGTGGTTCTAAACTATTTGCGTAATTGAGTCATGCAAGGCACAACAAAGGTTGAAAGAACTAGAAAAAGAGAGAGAGAAGAGGCAGTCGCTGTTCTGCAGCATGGCCAGAAAAGGTAGATAGTACCGTGAGTTCACGGGACGTGGGCTCCACCCGGGAAGGGGAAAGGAGGGTAGAAGGAAAGGGGCTAACTTTTGTTTCTTGATTAAGCTTGTAGTCAACTTAATAAATGAACTATAAATATTTAACTTTCCAGTATTACTGGATATACAAAATGTATAGTATTGAGCAAATATTAAACAAGGAAACAAGTCTACATAAAATAAAGTGCAATGTCACAAAAAATAAAAATTCAGTGTCATCCTCTTATTGTGAAATGCAATGAAATTTGATAGTTAATAGTTGAACGTAGTCATTCACACTAATATAGGCTTAAGCAGACATTTTTTGGGATTGATGCAAACCTGCTAACTAAGATTCAGGATGCAAGTCTGCACTCAGTAGGCAATGTGGTAAGGTCTGATAGCCTTTCCTTGTTTTATTGTTGGAAAGGAATTATCTTATTAATTTTGCTTCTTTCGCATGATGCACTGCTGACTGGCAAAACACAAGCTATTTTATGTAGCCAGTAAAGATCAAGCAATGGAATAGACTAAGACTCCAGAAAGTTGGTAAACTCTAGAATTGTGTCCACCATAATGGCATCTGATGACTTTTTTCTTTGTAGGGTTAGCAACGCCTGCTTCAGTTCAATCTCCAAGTTTTCCATGTTTTTTGAGTAGAATTAAAATTAAGAAATTATTCAGATTGGGGGTTTAGAGACTGTACACCTTCCATTATCTCCAGGGAATTTTTGGAGAATAGAGATTTTAGCTCTAAAATTATTCTGTCAAGAATAACATAAGTGAACATTTTAGTGAAATCATCTTTTCTGAGCAGTTGTTGTCTATGACCTACAGTTTCCAAAATGACGCTATTTCTTAAGTTGAAAGGAGATCGGCATTCTCGTTTATTGGAAGGCAGAGTGGAAGAACCATCATTTGCTGGTACTGTGATTCTAACCTTCATGCTCAGGCACTGCCCAGTGTTTCTGCCCCGACGCTCTCTATTGTTGCAGAATTAGTCTGGGTCCTGTTCAGTATATTCTCAAAAAAGGCAAGTGCCAGAATAAAGCCAAAGCCAATGAACTGGATTTTGCCTCAACTGCTCTCTCTGTATGGTGTTCTTCAACCAAAATATTGAGTGTTTCCAACTGAGGGTCAAGTGTTGGCATGTCCACCTTGTATCACTTAGTTGCCTAAGCTGGACAGCTGGTTTGCTCAGCATTTCATGTTGCACACTAGCAAACATTGAATGAGCTACAGAAGTACTGCAAAAATCATACAACTTTTCTAGTTTTACAAAAAATTCCAATGCTGCCCATATATTCTTCACCATGTCCATTCATACAATGAATGTAAAGTGCACAAGCAACCTCCTTTGTAATGCGTGTTTCCACGCCATAAGCCAGCCACTCACTACAGAGGCTCCATCATAGCGTTGGCCAACACATTTATTTTTCTCGATGCCTGAAGATGTTAGGACATCATTTGGCACTCCAGATGTTTTGGACTACACCTCCCATGATGCTTTGCCAGCATTATGGGTGTAAGAGCATTATTGGAGAGGTAGTCCACAACATCTGGAGTGCCGAAGGTTGACTATGCCTGTGTGATGAAAGAATCGTACTACAAAAGACAGCTGTTCTGTTTTACTCAGAGACTTTGTTTCATCAGCAATGTGTCAAACCCGTTCCTTTGCCATTTATCCTTTTTGCTAGCAGTGGTCTCATTCCTCTGCTCCTTTCTTTGCAGGTAAGTACTGTGTGTGTTTTATTGTTGTACTTTTAGTCATGCATATCTAGGCAGTTAGGACCCACTGTAATTGGAGTACTTTGGCGCAGTGGTGGGATGCATACATTTTGTCCATTTATGTATGTCTAAATCTCCAATGTTTATTACATATATAGTACTTGGTTATTTCTCTTCTTGTTTTGCCTTGTATGTCTTGTCTTGTTTTATTTTGTCTTGTATTCCTAGTTCATGTACAGTCCTGTCCTGTCCTGTCAATGTCCTGTTCTTGTTTCCCTCATGTATTGTGTACACAGTACATGTTCTGGGTTCTTTTAGTCTTGTCTTGTTAACTTGTTTGGTGCCAAGTCTTGCCTTGTTTCTAGTACTGGATACATATCTGCATAATATCAAGCTCCTGGGATCCGCAGAAGCTGCATCTGGGCCATGGTATGTAGCCGCACAAACCCTGGTGCTCAACACCAGGGGGCATGTGGTTACCCTGCACCAGACCCTGATAGTTCATTTCCAAGCTGTGACTGCTACCATCATCAGGGATACAGGCGTCCTGGTCTTCAGACCGCCACCCGTGACACAATGATGGAAATACTCTACCCAATGTCTTCTCTGACAAAAGTACCACCATAAATACTAGGAGCTATCACTCAGAAATAAAAATTAATGAGGCTACTTGACGAGCCACAGCAGGTCTTCTATTGAAATTAGCACCGCATCATAGACTGATCAAAGATTAATCCGTATTTAATTGGAGGTTGCTTTATTAAAAGGTTTTGCGGAGTTAATAAAGTAAATTAAGGTTCATATATCAACACACCTTTCTAATTAAAGGAACACTATAGCATTAAGAGTACAAACTTGAATGTAAAAACATTTTAAAAAAGGTTTTTGCTTCTCTTGTCTCCAGCACTGAAACTCCCTTGGCACAGCAACCCATGCCTCCTATCACAAATTCATTTGTTTGTCTCGCTATCATAACATCATTTGTCTGTCTCACTCCATCTCTCCTCTAGAAACTCTGTACATTATGTGTGTAGTGTGTCACTTGTTTTACATGTTACAAAAAGTGCAGATTTCAACAGAAATGGGCACTTTTCTAAATGAACTGTGTTACACCCCCCCATGGCTGTCAATCAGATAACCTGTCTTGATACTTCCTGATTGTTTAGATTAGTGGAGCTAAATTTAAGAGGCAACAATTGCCCAGAGCACCTGCCTTGCAAAGATTTCTTTTTAAGTTGCATTGGAAAGTCTGTGATTGGACAATCACCAGAAAGCCTGGGGAGATTTGACAAAGCTGCAGACAGGAGATCTGCAGCCTCTGCATACTGTTTATAGATATACTTAAATAAAAAAATACATAATTAAAAACATGCATGTTTTCATGAGGGTACATCTACTAAATAATGATTTATGTTTATTTTTCTTTTTGTATTTGCGCAGTGGAGTGTTCCTTTAAGAGCACATCATTATGCAGATATATTTTGGCCTGCACTCACGTTAAGAGTGGGTTAAACTAATGGAGGCTGGCATTAACCTGGAATAAAATCACTCTTCAATGATTACTAAATAAACTGACACTACAGCTCACGCAAAATTTCTTGATGACTCATTCAACAGCAGGTATATGCCAGTTTTACAACCACGGCCATGGCTAATTAACTGTCCAGGCAATGCATAGATAACAGACCTTTATATGTAGCAGATGCTTGCTTGAAAAAAAAGAACTCTTCAATAATACCATTATATATATTTATTGCCTTTGTTTAAACTAACAAGGTTAGGGGCGTGGCCAACCGAGCAACAGAGAAGACGTGTTTACACAGAGCTCTGTCCCAGATTTCAGAAAAAGCCATTTTAAACACGGATACAAAATCCAAAACACGCTGAGTGACAACCACCCTCACACAGAAGACACTATGGGGTGAAAAAACAGAAAACCTCACCTTCCAGAGGCTCCAAAAATGCAGGATATCAGACTATCCTTTGAGAGGCCTAACCGCGGGGCCCAGCCAAAATGGCGCCCGACCCGCCTAGCGAGGACGAGGCCTCGGAGAACTACCAAGAGGAAGAGGAAGCCCCGGCCTCACAGTCGGAGGGGACCCCCCCTAACGAGTCAGAGTCAGATGAGGACACCTCACCGGCAACAAAGAGAGACATTAAAAGTCTCCTGCTGGATATGCGGCGTGTGTGGAAGGCTGACCTCTTAGACACACGCACGGAAATAGGGACCCTCAAACAAAGGGTCACAGAGATCGAGACAAAAGAAGTAGCCAGGGACCAGAAAGTGCAAGACACCCACAACAATCTGCAAGCATTAACAGAGCAAGTACAGAAACTTACCAAGTCGATGTTAGCGATGGAGTCCAAGCACAAAAGGAGGAATATCCGCCTCTGCGGCATCCCGGAGCATATCGAAGGGGACGCAGCACTGCCCTTCCTCCGACGCTTCATGGCCTCGCTGGGCATAGGAGGCAACACAGGTTCAGAGACACTAACATCAGCATTCCGAGTCCGCAAAGCCGCAGCTGCCCCAGCAGACGCACCAAGAGACAAAATTGCCGTGACCAAAGACATTGCAATTCGGTCTGTGATTATGGCCAAATCGAGAGAGCTGGGAACCATACACTTCGAAGGTTGCGACATAGCCATATACGGGGACCCCCCTTTTGCCGTCCTCACAGTCAAGAGACAGCTAACACCGGTGGCCCGACAGCTGAGAGAGGCGCTGATCAAATATCGTTGGGGGGTGGATGGCTCCCTACTTGTAGCACAAGGAAACGACATACTCACCCTCTCATCTCCTGAGAACAAAGAGACTTTCCTCCAAAGACTGAAATTAAACACAACAATCCCAGTAAAAGTCCAGAAGCCAGGAACAGGCACACAGGAACCCACCAGAGTTCACCCATTAAACCCACAGGCCCAACTCCTAGTTAAACCACGCCACCTGTAGACACACCACACCCATAGAGGCCCTTTGAGGTTACACCACCAGTAACTAGAAAGTGAGACACACAATAGGAGCCCAACATTTCACAAATATGTACCCATTTGATGCCTAATAAGCAGTAACTAAACCCTCTCAACGACCTATGACATAGAGCCATACTTCCCAATGTACAACGGAGGGGCCAAGCTGAGATCAAATGAGGGGTACTCCGTTTTCAACCCATAAGGCTTAGTAGGGACAAAACCATACAGCGAACCAATTGTCTGCCACTAGTGCACATGTTGCCTTTTCATTGTTTCAACATATTAGAGTTGCTATATAAACTTTATAACTTCTCATATTATGAAAACACCAATAAAATACAAATTATATAAACTAACAAGGTTTATGCTTGTGATTAGTCATAAACAATTAGAATACTCAAATTGCCTCAACAAGTATAATTACCTAAATCTTTTTATAGGTGGGGTGTGGTTAAAATAATTCTGGCAGTGTAGGATACCATTCTACGTGTGGCTTTCTTTTTTAACATTTTTTTTCTATTTATTTCTTTTTTATTGAGTTTTCCGGTTTAGTACACAGTGAAACCATCATTGACCACTTAGGGTCCCAGTTGATGGACCAGTTGAGCATGTCCAGCTTCATTTGAAGCAATCAACTTAATTATGCAATGAGTTTAAAAAGGTTGAGTATCAGAGAGGAAATGAAACGTAGCAAATTATATATGTAATTAAATACAATGTACAATAGCTTGATTGTCTCATAGTCAGTGTGTACTGTTACCAAAACTCAGATAAGAAAATATATAGAATTACAAGGAAGGAGCAATTCATTAGAATACCATCTGGGTTTCCCCAAGAACCAAAAATAGCTAAATAAATGTCTCAGTGTACATGTTAAATTGGTTATAGTGATATCCAGCCATTAATGTAGTTATATTACGTAAACACTCAGATCAGACAAATCAGATGAATAGTTGAAAAGGTACAATCAGATGTAGGCAATTAGTCATTATTACCACTAATAAGCAAAGGGTTAAGTAACCCACTTGTGACCTTGTATAGCAGTACCCATAAATGAGATTCACAAATCTCACATATATAATGAAATTAACCAGACACTGGCAATCAGAAGGTTAAACAAACGACTCCTATATCTCTAAAGTAGTGTCCAGTGGCAAAGATTCTCTGACTGAAGGGTTAAATCCCCAAAATGTACCCAAAAAGAGGCCCAAACCTTGGTTGTAATAACCCCTGGTTCTCTCACAGCCCAGCTAAAATCAGCAATGATAAATCAAATCATAAGTTACTCCAAAAAAAAGTGAATAACCTCACATAGTGAACAGCCTGACCCACGTTTCGACGTTAAGGATGCACCTTCATCTGGGGAATGTATTCAATTTGCATCTGAGTATTGGTAACAGTACACATTGACTAGGAGACAATCAAGCTGTTGTACATTGTAAATAATTACTTATACAATTTGGTACATTTCATCTCTCCTTTTATACTCAGCCTTTTTTTTACCTGGTCTGGTGGGTTTTTGTAATAAGTCCCTTTACCATATTTTTCCTATTGTTATCCTATTAAAGATTTATGATTTTTACATATATTTTTTGGGAGGGACTTATTTGTGTGTGACATGCCTATTGGCTCCTGTCAGACACTATTTTAATTTGGTAAGAGGTAACATATCAGCGATTTACGGTACTCGTGTTTGGTTTGGTTTTTTGAGCGAAAATATGAAAGTAGAAATCCAGTAACCTACACTTTGCATAAATTGCCCTCTGGAATGCAGGTTGTAACTATAGATTGCAATGTACGGTACAAAGTGTGGATTTAATTAGGGCTGGGAGTGGAAAGATTTTCTTTTATGGAGAAGACGAAACAGTTCCGTGATTTACTGCTCCAAGATTGAGAATAAGATTCTGCTGTGGAACTTTACAAGATACTGTTAGATAGTGGAGGCACCGCTGAGTACTCCTAACTCTTTCAAATGGGTCTCAGACAGACAGGGTGGTAATGTAAAGTGGCATCATAAGTACCATAACATATCACGGCAAATAAGTGGCATTCCAGAATAGCTGGTTAAAGAAACCGAAAGGGCCTCTATACTATGGAATTCTTTCAGTTTATAGAAACACAATAGGTGAAGGTACAATGGGTAAAACAAGACAAACAATTCTAACAAAACAGGTTTGACATACAGGAACAGTAGATGATTAAAGGGCCTGTCCACTCAAGCTTACAATCTACAATGTAAGTTATTTAAAGCACTTTTTACATTTAGATATAAAAACTGTGGAATAGTTGCAATGAGAAATTGGTCAAGACTCCCTGAACTGCCATGCAAAATAGGTGGCTTCCGAGGCAGTCTCACCAAAAGTGTATAGTTGTTCTCACACTTCTCCTTCAAAGTACAAAACACAAATTATTACCATATGTAACGTGGGTAGTTACTGTTACTGTCAATCCAAGGAGATACATTTTGCAATCGAGAAGGACTCCACCCTATTTGTGGTATAATTGGAAACGACTTCAAACTGTTTCTTGACTTTTTTTTGGATCAGCCTCAGAAACCGATGTCTAGAAGGCTGAACGTGATGGACTTGATACTTTATTGAAGCTAGATGACTTTGATGCTAACCATGTTAATGTCAACTCCAGGAGAGAATAAGAGATACAAAGTAGAAACCATAGAGTTTTTAAAGGAACACCCCACTGTCCAAATACAAAACATAAAAAGCGCTGTATAGTAAATGCTAGCAGTGAGAAAATAGTACTTGCAAAAAGCAAGTGAATGATAATTTGCAAACATGCATCCCGCTGGACTCACTCGCTTGATTTTCATCCACCATGCAGTTGTTAATAAATCTCCAATTCTGGTCCTGTAAATTGGTTGAGATGGGGATATTGGTAATTTTCAGAGCGTTTACGGCCGAATGTTACAGAAGCAGTGGGACTGACCGAGTCCTGACCACATTTGACTTTTGTAAATCTGTGAATTGCCAATGCAGTAAGAATTTGGTCATTTTCACCAGAGTTTGTCTATTTGGATAAAGTGAATAACCCTGTTAATGTCTCACAAATACACTGTCACCTTTGCCTACAACGCTAAAAGAGCATGGAACATTGTAAATTTCGGAAGACTGAAGATACTGACTTTAATGAGATTATTAGTGGAAAATGCAGAAAAGTCTGTGGGGGTGTTGATGATATTAGCCCCACCCCTTACCCAGCCAGCTCAACCACATAATTTAGGGGAAGGCATTTCAAAACATTAAGCTCTCTTTGAAGTCAGATTTACCAGCGTTTTAAAGTTGGGCACTGCCCCTTTCGCCCAGTGATGTCATCTTCTTACCCTCTCCCATAGGAAAAAATAAAAATAATTGAGCATTCAGTGGTAATGGTTGGGGGAAAAGGCAGTCAGTTCAGACTCTGTAGAATGAGTTTGGTTTGCAAGAATGTGACAATTCAATTGAGCAATAGATTTGGTGATGCGAGGTATCTTGCAATACTAGTGGGAATTCCACTGAAGTCATGTATTTCCAGATAGAGATCTCTCAGCAGATGTGTTTTGGGAAGACATACCTAGATTTCTATCAGTAACCTTTACTGTTAAAATAAACTACAGGTCTTGTGACAAGCTCTAAAATGGTATTGTACTCTCATGTCATCATGTCACACAATAACAAACCAGGATGCACATCAGATACTGAAAATATAACTATATATTTCTTTACAAAGCAATAGGACAATTAAACATATAATAGACACAAGACAAAACAGTGAAAAGGCTAGAATCTATTCGTTAACATATCCCAGTATTGCCATCAATAGCAAAGGCAAAAAGCATTGGGGGCACACCCGAAACGTGCATTCTGCAGGAATAGTACTGCCGTAGTGACAAATATTTATATATAATACTGATTAAGTTACGGCACACACATAACAAATACACTTATAAATCTTACCAGGCTAATTAAAATGGCCTATCTAAGAAAACAAATATGTAGATTCAGTTCCACCAATTTGGCCATATTGTGTTAATCCCACCACAACTTCACAGTACCCCAATATCGGTGGGTCTTACACTAATTCCAAATGTGTAAGCACTAGCTCTATTTAATTTTATCCCACATTTTGAATTAGTGCAGGACCCACAGATATTGAGGTAGCCTGATTAAGTAGCCTGATAAGATTTATAAGTGTATTTTTATGTGCGCGCCACAACTTAATCTGTATTAAGTATTGCCATCAATAGCCTACCAGAGCAGGACATAAACTACAAAAAACAACATTTCAGCACACAAAGGGATGCCTTTCTCAAGGGAACTTGTAGCACACTTTACCTGGTCATGTATATACCCCTCTGAGCAGCTGATCTCCATCAGCAAAGATATCTCGATCGGGATCGGAAATGACATCATCACTTCTGGTCTCACTAGATTTCACCCAAAAGAATCCACATAAATAGAGGATAGAACTTAAACAGGGATCAAATTAATAAAGTTTATTGCAGCAAAGCTAAATGCCTACAAAGCGGTTAGTTAGCACAAACAAGTACCCCATGTGCATGCTCACAATGGAGCCATCTTGACTAAGGGCATAACCTGACAAGTCTTGTACTCGTAAACGCATGCATACAGGGTAAAGCAGGGGTGACATTGTGCTGGAGAGCACTATCTGCCATTATAGAGGAATAGAGAAATCCCTCTTCTAATTTAGACCCTAAAGTGTCTGTTACTCATAAATCCAATGCAGTACTTGTTGTTTCATTACACATTATCTCGATCCCCATCTCTTACCATTTGTATAATTGTTTAACGCAATTGCTAAACTGCAACAGCCCTTTTCTACAAAATGATGCGCCACTGGGTACTGCGTCTTTTTTCATGCAAATGCTTCTTTTAAGCTCACGGATCATTGACAAACTCCGACTGACAAATACAAAATTCACGGATTGTATATTTTCTCCCTGTCCTATGATGAAAAAAATGACCC